GTGGGTGGGAGGGGCACAGTGGGCCAGATGTATAGTGAGGTAGATAAAAATATTATTCATAGTTTTGGACACAGGTTGTTTATATTTTATTTATTACATTGATTTTAATAAGTGACATTTGCAGTGCTCTTTTGAACAAAGCACATTTTCAGTATAAAAACTTTTTTTTAAAAAAGAATGTCACTTGCAACTTGAAGTTCTTCTTGACTGCCTGATAGCCACCAGGCTGGTGCAGTTCTCCAGGCGCAGGATTGCCAACAGGCTGAGGGGATCTGTCATTCTGTTTGAAGTTCTTAGGACAGGAGGTTATCGTAAATTGGATTTATTTCCATTCTTTAAGCTACTGAAATGCCCACATGCCCCCTTTCAGCTCCTCTTAGGAAATACTTGGAGTCAAATGTTGACCATTACTCAAGTGAGAGATTCTGAATTGATGAAGTGGCATAAGATACCTTTTGTCTATACTTTGTGTTGTTTTGTTTCCGTTCTTCTTTAGTGGCAAGTGCTCCAACTGATAACGTTCACTCTTGCTGTACTGAGTTTTGAGAAGGTGTTGAATTACCTGGCTTCTTTTCCAGGCTTGGAAATCCAGCACTGCGGCCATACTGAGCAAGATATATATGATGCATTCTTTTTAATATTGAGGAAAGTATCATTACCTATTGCTGTTCCCTTCATTCTTGTACTAGATCACACACAGAAATAGAGAAGAAACAAAACTGTTCCAAAAAAATGTATAAAATGCAATTGATGTACTGTAAAATGTCGGATTTTTTTTTTTTTAACAAGCTTCGTATTAGAATCTTGTTCAGCTGTGTAGAGCTATATAAATCTCACTGTTTTATTAAATGCTGTTTATGGTCTGGAAGGAATGGTTAACCTATCTCAAGATTAACAAATTTGCACTAACATGAGCAATATTGATTTGAAAAAAAATATTAATTCAATATTTAAAAGATAAACTATGATTTTAAAGGTATATTAACACTGAAAGTACATTTTGACAAATAACATATTTAAGCCCAAAATATAAATGGTTATGTCAGATAACACAAAAGAACTATAACAATATAGATTGAGAAAAAACAAATGTGTTTCCCTGTACATGTTGCTAACATGTACAAAGACAAACTCATATTGACATATTTTCTATTAATAAATCCTACTGTATTGTGGAGAATCGCTGGTCATAGTGCAATATGTTTAAACTCAGAAGTTGGTTCCATAGATTGATGCCTAGCTTCGCACAGCCAACAAACCCTTACCATTTATTTATTTTAAATATTAATCAGATAGCTAACTTGCAGCTCTCAAGTCATTCAGTCTGCCCTCCCTCTCCACAAGGTTTATGAGCACAGCAGCAGCAAGCAAAAGGGGAAGGTATTTCTGAGATGAACACTCAGTTCACCCCTAAGTATCGCTGCAAGAGCTCAGCTGCCACTCCTTTGAGAGAGATAGTTTATCTACACCTGTAGAAAAATATAAAAAGCTCAAAGCTGGTGCCACTAGATAGGAACATGCTGTAAAAAATACGATCTTGGCCCCAGTGTTGCCTAGACCACAACCAAGAAACAAAGAGTGAGCCATTAATTCGCTCATGCATAGCTGGGAGTCCCGGCACGCAGTGCATGTAAGGGCTTGGGAATAATTGTTTCCTGGGACTGGGTTGCAGAAGCATCTTGCCAGGGAGACTTGCAACTCAGGTCAGAATGCTGACTTACTTTTTTATACCTTGGCACAGCACAGGCTGTGCAAGCCACTGCACTGCAAGAGAGACTTTCTCAGCTCCTCCTGCCCCTCTTACTCATCCTCTCCTGCCAGCAGGCACAAGGAGCTCTGAATTTAGTGTTACTGCTTGTATCAGGGGGACTGGTGAGAGGAGTGGGAGGGATGGAGACAGGAATCCAAAGAGGCGGGGAGGGAAACAAGAGCCTAAAAATACAGAAACTCAGAGCTTGTGCGTGGAATAGACCCAACAAGAGAATATATGCCCAAGATCATCAAATCTTACAAACACACTAATGTACTGAACATTTAATAGCAGCAACGTGATGCATCAAAGCTTTATTCAAGAAAAGTGGGAGGGAGCAGCAGAGGGAAATCACAGGTCATTGCTGAGCACTTCCAGTTTCAGCCAGCAGATGTTGGGCATGAGGGCAGTGACTGCTTACTGCTGTGAAGGATTGGAGAGGGATGAGACTCTTAATCAAAGACTTTAAGACTAGGTCCAAAACTTAAGACTAGATCAAGAAGATATTAAACAGATAAAACAGAGACAACTTTTTGCAAATCTCCCCCCCTTCCTTTGCAAACACCCCACCATCCTCAATGGCAACGTGGTCCCCCCAGCAGGTACATGGACATGGTGCACACGGGGGACAATCCCATCACGAATCTAGTTTGCAAAGGCCCTTTACTATCAGCTGGGCAATACCCTGTACGGGTGTGTGTCAGAGCGGCCACCTGCACTGAATGCTGCCGGTGCTAGGGCTGGGCTAGCCAGGGGTGACTCCAGCCTCTTGCAATTTGAAATCCAGCATTTTCCCTGAAGGCCAGATGCACACCATCTGATGAAGAACTGTGCAGTGCTGGCTCTCTGCCAGGGGACCAGCCAGGTTTTAAATAGTGGCCTAAATCCAGTTTCAGACATTTAGGTTGAAAGTGGGAAATCTGAGTTTCATCGGCAGGCAAGAGGATTGAAGTCTGCAGTTGATACCTGTAGGGAGGGGAGTATCCCCCCCTTCCAGGCTGTTCTGAAAAACAAGTGAGAAAAGCAGTGATTATCACATCTTCTGATAGCCGGTTTGGAGCACTTGCTCCTAACTCTTGCGCCACTCTTCTGAGGGCCAAGTCAAACAACTTGATCTGACACAAGCACTTGTTCTTCTGATGCAATGTGTCCCCCCACCCTGGGTTTTGTACCATCTCCACTGAGCCATGTCGTTCATTGGCACACCACAACCCTCTGCAGGTCCAGCAAGGCACATGCACAAGTACTTGCCAAGCATAGCAAGACACCAACGCCAATGCATTATTCTTAAACCTAATTCCCAGTCAAACTGACTTTAGTATTTTTAATGCAATTTTAAAAGCAGTTTCCTTCCTCTGTGGGCATTGGTATTGCTTTGCCAGAAAAAAAGCACATGTTAAACCCTTGCAAAGTGTAAACCTTTAGCTTAGACCTAATTTTAAAGCCCACAGAAGTCCCTAGAAAGGCTTCCATCAGCTTCACCAAGTCATGGATCAGGCCCAAAGTGGAAAAAGGTGAAGAACTGATTCAAAGGATGAGCACATTGATGCCACTCTTGCCAGTACCCCAAAGGCTGAAACCTTCTAATAGCTGAAAGGATAAAAAAATATTTGCGAGTACATGTCTGTCAAAATTTACTGTAGAGCCTTTGACTCTCTGTAATTTTATTTTCACTGCTTTAAGAACATGACATAGATAAAAAACACTTGCAGTGACTGATTGTTGCCGTTAGTTTCAGTAGCTAGATGAGTAGTTTCAGACACTGAAATACCTTTCTTTTCCAGACAGGCAAAATCTGAAGCTTGCCACTAAATCTAGGAGAGCAAAATTGCAGTGGTCTGCTGATTCACTGTTTTTCACAAGTTCAATTAAAATATTAATTCACATAAGCTTCACATAGCCCAGTGGCTATGGGGGTTGCTTTTTACATATCTGCTTATTTTACATGAATGTTATATAGACAGAAAATGTTGATAACACATCAAGACAATAACTAAACACATCAATACAT